GTAGTTCATTGAATCACAATACTGATAAGTGATTAATAAAAGTCAAAAGACCAAAGAGATCACCTTAATACCAAAAATAAATAAATAAATAAATAAATCTATCTTAATAAATTTTAATCTGAATTAATAATTCTACTATTATTAGAATTATAAAAATCAGCTTTACAACTTTGCTTAAAAATCTAAAAACAGTTAAATTAGTAAAAATATTTTTGAATACCAAAATAAAAAAAGAAAACAGGTATTTCCACACTCGATTTTAGTATTTCTACACTCTTGTAAATAGCCAATTAAATTATATGAAATTAGATATATTATATCATGTGATTTAATTAAAATTTTAGATAATGCATCTCAAAATTGGTAATTCTAACCAATCAGATTTTTTATCAGATATAGAATATAATAAAAAAACTTCGTATAAAATCAAACCAAAGAAAATTGCATTATAGTTAAGGTTAGGGTTAAAGCAATATAGCACTTATTAGTAAAAATTCATAAAGAACACTTTTAATTAGACTGCAGAAAACAATTTTCTAATTATAATTCAGAGCTATTCTTATTTTTTTTGTAAAAAAAGTGATTCGATTTTTACATTGCATCTGGTCTAGAAATTCATGTTGAAATTACAAGAATGTACCAATTTTTGTAAGTATGCTAAAGAGTTTGGCTCAAGTAGAATCAGAAGTTATGTAATATAACACTGGTATTATATTTTAGCCTTGCTATAACTATAATACTATTAGTTAACAGATAACAAATTAGTGTGCAATGATTACAGTTTTTAATTATATTAACATAAACTTGTATAATGTAGGAATTTATGAAATTGTTTTAATATTTTGGTAGAATTAGATAACTAAATTGAATATAACATTCAAACTTAAAGGCTTAAACATTTAAAATATAAATACTAAATTTGTATAAGAATAAAACATATTCAAAAGTGGCAAAGATATTGTATATTCATTAAAACATTTAGTATACATAAGTCAATATCTAAAAATGAGTGACTTTGGAAAACCAGATTTTGAACTTTAGACTTATAAGTTAATAGTCTCAATTTTGAAAATCTGAATAATTGAATCTAGAGACTAGAACTGCCTAATTATTTAATCATTTAATTGTATTATCTATTTACTTTAGCTGGTATTAGAGAAATATTGGACATGAATAACAAAATTTGGTTCAGAATTATGAAAAAATTTTTATGTGATTAAATAGTTCTAATCTTTAGTTAAGTCTGGTAAGTCATAAATTTAAGAGTCAAGTCTGGTTTTCCTATTGCATCATAATTATAAATTACTCTTATTGTTAATATTAAAATATATGAATTTATCAACAAAATTATATAAGACCTCTTTGCGATAATTATTAAATGACAGATTTTGATTGATATAAAGAATAATATGTATTATGAAAACCATTATTCTATGATTATTATAACTCCTATGATATGATGTGGTGTTATTAAATCAGAGTTTATTTAATTTAAAATATGAAATGATTATATTTGTTGGTATATTTGAAATATAAAAGTAAAAAATTGTATTAGAAAAACTGTTATTTGCATATATTAAACAAATTTCACTGCTATAACAATTAAACCTACCAATATTAAATATAACTACAATGCAATGCCCTTTTGCTAGTCAGTTTTATAGTCATGATTCACTAATCAAATATGTACAAACATTTGGTACTTCAAATAGTTATGGCATATCTATTATAAGATCAAAACCAAATAAAATATATCTAGGTTGTAATAGAGCTAGACATTATAGAAATCGGTCAAACAATACAAATAAAATATATAAAAAACTCACAGGTTCTAGATTAATAAGCTGCCCTTTCTCTCTTCATGATACTAAAAAAGATAATATGTGGATTTTGTTTATTAATAATCTATATCATTGTTATGAACCATCACAAAATGCATCATCTCATTCATCCTTATGAAGACTAAATGAGCAGACACAGAAACAACTAAATAAAATAACAAAAGCTGGAGTCCATCTATGGGAGATACTGTCTTTACTTTGTCAAAATGATTCTTTAATTTCTATAACATCACAAGATGTATATAATATTTGTAAAAAACTTCGGCAAGAAAACTTGAAAGGTTATATACCTATTTAAGCACTTGTAGAAGAGCTTAACAAAAGTCAATTTGAATATAACTATCAGTGCAATGCTGATGGACATATAACGTATTTTTTTTTTGCTCATTATAAATCTATAGAATTGATGCATACTTATTCTTCTGTATTGTTAATAGATTGTATTTACAAAACTAATAAATTTAAGCTATCTCTTCTTAATATAGTGGGTGTAACTAGTTTTAATACTACGTTTTTTGTATGTTTTATTTTTATAAAAGATGAAAAAAGAGAGGATTATTTGTAGGCACTTACCCAAGTGTCTTGCTTATTTGATAACACTGAGCCATCTAAAGTTTTTGTAACAGATCGTAAATTAGCACTTATATATGCAATCCATGATATATTTTCAAACTCAAAGAATATTCTTTGTAGATGGCATATGGAAAAAAATATCTTGACTAAATGTAAGGATCATTTTTGTACTAATCAAGAATGGGAAGCATTTCTTTGTTGTTGGATAGAAATTGTAAAATCAAAGACTGAAGAAGAATTCTCTATTTGTTAGGCAGAATTGTATACAAAATATAACAAAAATTCACTAACTATTAGGTATATTCAAGAATCATGATTGTCATCAAAAGAAAGCTTTATTAGTATATGGGTTGATCATTATCTTCATTTGGGTAATACATTAACATCTCATATAGAAGATTTTTATTTAGTATTAAAAAAATACCTTCAAATTTTAACAGATAACTTAAATATAGTTCATGAAAAAATTTCACTATTATTAAAAAATCAACATCATGAAATCAAAGCAATGATTGCTAAAGATAAAACCCATATTGCATATGTCTAAAATATCCCTTTTTATAATAAGTTTATTACTAAAATTTTGGTATTTTCCTTAAGAAAAATACATGAACAATATCTTAAAGCTTTACAAACAACTTTTGCTAACCCACTTGAACCTTGCACTGATACTTTCATTGTATCAATAGGTCTTCCATGTGTACACATTATCTAAGAACATCTTAAAACAGACCAATTATTAAATTTTGATAATATTCATCATCACTGGTAGATCGAAGACAATCAACTATTCCTACGAAGATAAAATAGAATTAATGATCATTCATTATCACAATTAGTACAAGACTTTAATTAGTAATACAATACCTGGTTAGTTCTACAACAAATAGCAGCTCATCATAAGCTGTCTGAATTAATTAAAGAACCAATGCTTTTGTTAGATCCAATGGTACAACAACATACCAGAGGATGACCAGCTGGCTCATGGAACAAAGCTCAAACCTTTACCCAAAGAATTTCATTAGCTTTTGAATTAGAAAAGGCTAAGACAAGCAACAGAAGATGTGATGTATACAAAAAATTGATCACAATAGTAGAATGTGTTTTGATCGTAACATAAATGCAAATTAAAAGGGTCATAAGTAATAATTAATTGTGCAATACTAAAATATACATATGTGCTATATCATGCTTAAGTAATGAACTGCTAGATTCAGCTATAAAACAATATATACTTATCAATTTGTTAGCTTTAGTAATAATGACAATTATAAATTTTTTTAAGTCTTTTAAATGAAACTTGAAAAATTTGCATTAATAATTAACAAAATAGATGAAAAAAAGTATTGGTATAGAATAAAAGGTATAATACTTAAGCTTATTTATTATATTCTTAAAATAACAGACACAAACATATTATTTTGAGTATAACCAAGTGTCTTATTTCTAGATAAGTATAAATTTCTGATTTTGATTGTTATTATTGTATATTATAATCACTAAATTAACCAAAATTTAATTTTAATATAACTTTAAGTTTCATAAAAAAACCAATATCAAAAATAATAATTCACAAACTTACTTAATTTCACTTCATTATTTATCCAAAAAGCGATAAACCATATAACCAAGTTTCTTATTATTCATTTATTAAAAGATTAAGTTTCTGATCATCTTTTTTGACAATTTAACAACCTAATTACGAATAAATTTTAGATCTACTAAATGTCTTATTTTTTCAAAATACTGTAAGATTTGTAAAAATAAAGACATATGTATGTAAATGGGAAATAATACACACCTGTATAATATTTATTGATTTAATTTGCATAAATGTTTGTTTCTGTATAATACATGATAGATCAAATCTCTTTGTTGGTTTAATACAAACATAGCATGCTGTATTTTTTTGATCCAAAGCTTTAGAATGATTGTTTTCCACTTGAAATTTCCCAGAGATTTACTCCACAGCTATATATAACTGATTTTTTGTCATGTCTATATAATCAAGTTCATCTTAGAACTTCATAACGCTAGTAAAGTTATCGATCTTAATTCCCAGTAATTATTGATTTGTTAGATTTACTGATACATATTTATACTTACGTAATGTGCACGTGATTAAGGATGTGGAAATACCAAAATCGGGTGTGGAAATACCTGTTCCCTAAAAAAAATTATAATTGAAGTTATGTGACAAGTGATCTATGTGTGCTCTACCTTTAGTATTAAGATTAATTTTTTTAGGTTTATTTTACACAATAAATAATGCAATATTTTTTTCTTATTTAAGTTATTATAAACGATTTCATGTTTATTTTTTGTTGAAATTTGAATGTAATTTTATGTTTTCACAAGAACACCTATATAATAAATTTGGAAATTTTTTATGTTCTCACATAAGTGTAACCTAAAATTTTTGTGTTCTCAGAGAATATTGAGAACATTGAATTTCACACACTGCTCTCGAGCACTCATAATCATGAACACTAGTTTAATTATCCAGACTGTCACGTGGTAATACAGAACTCAGCCTTGTACTAGCCTTGTACACATTTTCGCCATATTGATTGCGCAAGTCAAACGATACCGTCCAAAACTAGAGATATCCTTATGTCAAGTAAATCCCGAACCTCCGACCCCAAAACGCTGAGTCACTATACATTTAGCATTTAAAAATCCATATTGACTAAATTTCATGCTGAAAACTTTACTTAAAAGTCGGTAATTTTATCTATTAATTGGGATCGGAAGGTTTGATCAATCTGAAAGATGTCGTGTTATATGTTGCATCAAGAAATTCCTTCATTTAATGGTAATAAAACCATCGGGGAATTCTACTTTGACCCAGGTTAAAGTCACCAAATTATTTTTACAGTCGCACACCCATATAAGCATCTCCTATATAAGCACATTGTGTTTATAAGCACATTTATTTTTTGAATCAACTACTATTAAATATATAAAAATAATCCTCTATATAAGTACATTTTATAAGTACGTGCACTCCCATATAATCACACCATCGGGAGTGTTCTTATATAGAAGATACATATTTATATTAAGTGACATTAACGGATAATAATTTCATTATCAATCCTATGCCAATCTCTATTTATTATGTTGATATTCATTCTGCTGTAATTACAAAATTTAAATTATATTGTAATAACGTAGATATAACGTTAATATACTGTAACTTTGTCGCAGCAACAGGCGTTGATTTATTAAATTCATCAAGTTTGAAGTTCAGGCCAAATGCCATTAAAATTTTGTGCGATCATATGGTATCTTTATAAAGTAAGAAATACATATATTTGAAAGATGGCCAAAATCCGGACAACATCGGACAATATGTCGCAACGAAGGTTTACAATGAAAATAATAATGCTCTAAGCCACGTTTACCGCTAAGCCTCACAACATCTAGAATGAGTTCCCATTAGCGGAAAACTTATTGTCTAGAACCATGTTCTTGTCAAGATTTCTACAAATTAAACGTACCTCTTAGTGTTAGTACTAAGTTACAATGTAAAAAATTTATTATTCTTTAACCAACATTTTAAACATTATATCTTATTAACATTCCGTCTTAAAGTTCACAATATGGCATACGTTTCGTTTTTTCCGTTCTGCGTTCTAACTGCATTGTTCGCGTATCCAACTCTATTATTGATTGTTTTCTGTCCGATGTTCGGTAATATTAGTCAAAGATCAATGTTTAATTATTTTTCTAATGTTTTCTGATTTTTTTTGTTTTTTTTTTTTATAGAATTACTCAAGATTTTTTCATTTCTTGCAACTAATGGAACACTAAAATTAAACTGGTTCATCGAAATTTTGTAATAATTTTTTTTTAATAATATTTCCCTCAATGGAGACTATTAATATAACCTATTTATCAATAATATTGATTTTTTTTTTTCGTTCAGATACTTTTGTACTTCATCTTTTCCGATCGGTAAATAACAGATTCCAATTTAATTTTATTTATTTTTTGTATTATGCAATTACATCTTTTATTTATTGACATTCGAAATTCATAGTTACAACATTTTTTTGCTGTCTATCCAGCAAAGAGGGTATAACTGATGCATTTATGCAGGAACGGATGACAAGATACTTTAAACGAGCTTTAATGTATTTATTATTATCAATTGTTTTACCAAAATCTGGTTCATGGATTTTTTTTAAAAAAACAAAAATTTAATACTAGACATATTTCGATTTTTTCTAGATGCTTATGTCCGATTTTATGGATAATTGTTCCAGGCAAGTTTCATAATATTCAAGTGTTTTTTTTTTATTACTTTTAGAAATATCCTGATCCTCTTCAATTTTTTTTTATCTTTCAGGCTTATATACATATTCAACATTCTATGAAATGGATGATGTCCCATTCACATGTCCACAAAACTATACCTATACCAACTCAGAGGTTCGATTAGCATGTAATATCAGATTAACTAACCTACTATGTATGTTAGTATTTCCAATACTTTGTGCACTTTATGCACTTTCAGTTTGGATATTAATCACATGCTCAGAAAGAACTGGACAAAAATGTGAATTTAAAAGTGTCCAATTTTTAAGATTATATAAAAATGCATTATTCTCAGACAATGGGTATAGCAGGATTATCGATGATGAGGATGATAGTATAGATTTTGAAGAAAATAGAGTATTGTTTGATGAGGAAGAAGAATTTATAAAGGCTGAACTTGACACGTTTAACTCAAATTCTAATTTTGATTCAGCATAACGGTTTTGAGACTTGTAATTATTGTTAACTTTATGAAATTAATTTTAAAAAAAGCTTGCATATTTCATTATTCTTGAAAGATATTTATAGTCTTTTTTGGCTTTCTTTTCGTTACATATATTGTGTTGCATTTTGGAAGGTGTCCATTGTTTAGCTTCTTTCTATTGTATTATATTATCTTTTGGGAGCTAGCAATCATCTATCACATGTTCTTTTATTTTTTGAGTACGTAACAAATAAATCGATAGATTAAATGTGTTAATATTTTAGTTATACGTACGTACATTGTATGTATGCATATGTTGTACCTCAGATTAGAATTGGGCATAGGTTTAAAATTGAGTTGCGTAAAATTAAAGTTTGATTCTGAGGTGCGTCAGATTAGTTTTATGTATCATTTATGCATAATACTGAAATATACATAATAAGTGCTTGAAGTTTACATTGCCCCAGCGTTACCAACCTAAAAAATTTAGCTGGCTAATCAGATTTCAAGATCAGGTGTTACGCAAAAAATAAAAGAATTGTTCTGCGCATTAATCAGAAGTTTTCCTTGCGAAATTTTGACATTAGAAAAACTCTTTATAACCTAAATTAATATCAAAAATCTAACACTAATCTAGCAGCTAAATTTTTAGGTTGGACAGTTGAAGTAGACATCTGCTTGAAGTTACCAATTTAGGCAATTAACCCTGAAATTAGATCTTCCTTGCCCGCGTTAGTTAGTAATTTTAGGCAGTTTCAACTTCATGCGCTTGAAATTACAACTTCAAGCAGATGCTAACTTCAATCACGATTAATTATATATATATTTTTTTTGTCTGGTTACGATATAATAGCGACCATATGAATTTATTAATTAAACACCAATACATCATTGAAATATTATACAATATATATTAGATATAAGGTCCCGATTTCAGTTCTCGTGAAAGTCTTGAAACATGTTTACTTAGAGTACCCGATCCTGTTTACTTGATACATTTTTGAGATATTGCATAAGGTATTATATAACATATATAGTGTTAAAAATATAATTTTCCTACATCATTTTATTGAATTTAACATTAAATCTAATTTCGATGTAGGGTAAAATTTCGGTTACGTCTCAATTCACTGACACTCATCTCATAGACGCAACATTTCACCGACACTCAATTCACTGAAATTTTTGTTTCGTCGACACTTATTTCACAGACAAGTTCAGTTTATTTCACCGATACTTAATTCGCCGGCAAGTTTTTTTTTTTTATAAATTCTGCTAACCTTACAGTAACTCTAATTCTAATCAAACCCTAATGACAATACCAAAATTATTTGTCGGTGAAATGAGCTTAGGTGAAATAAGCTGTTGGTGAAATGAACTTGTCGATGAAATGTTACGTCTACGAAATGAATGTCGGTGAAGTGAGCCGCACCGAAATTTTCTACTATGATTATTTTATCTTGACGAATCATCTGGCAATCTTTTTATTTTAAAAAAAAAATTAAGAAAATTTATGAAAAATTGTATTGCTGAAATCAGAGATGTCAAAGAATTTGTCTGGATAATATGTTAAGCAAAAAGAAAAAGGAATGTTAATAACTCAAAATTTTACTATGACAACTTTGATTTAATTAAGCAAAAAATGGTTAGATCTAATTTTACATATAACTGTATAATAATTAGTATAATTATGTGTCTATATAATTATAAAAATGTAAACGTGCTTTAAACATGCTTGGGACATTTTTAAACATTAGACATATCGATATCTATTTCATTTTATCATTATGGGAATTATGATATTCAATATTAAATAATGCAGAGAAATAAAACCAGTTAGGTAAGACATAACAAAAATATATAGCAATGGCGAATTACTTTTTAATTGAACTAAATTCCTGACACAGCCACGAGTATAACTTGTAATAAATTATAAAAGAGTACAGACGCCGTAGCCGGACTCCCAAACCCAGTCTCCTTTACCGTTACGCAGTGGGGTTTTCCTTTCTGGATCCACGAGGGGTTGGCTCAGCCCCTCTCCCCTTGCTCGGCTTCTTGAGAAGATGCCCGCCCCCAACCAATCACCCCTAATTACTAGGGTAGGTTGTTTCCGTTAATTTCATCAAATGCACCTTACTTTTTTGGGAGGATTCTCCACAAACGGACTTTCCTTGCATTCTCGAACTTTATATACCATCTAAAACTTGGTTAAAAAAAAGTTATGGATTTGCAGATTTGCAATAATCGAATTTGATTGGTTATGTATCTAAACGATTAATGGTCGGGAAATGTCACATGAATGAGTGATAGAATTTTATATTTTTTATTACTGTTTTTGATAAAATGTAACTTTGAATTTTCTGTTAAATTCTTTTTTTTTTTTTGAAATGATTAAAATAATTACGCATTTTTCAACTGCGACAATATAAATTTTTAAAAAAATTTGAAGCACATTATTCAAAAATTGGCAAGAGAGAATTTCGATGAATGGATATATTCGTGAATGTCTAGTATTATACATTATTGATTTATTACTAAATATTTAAACGTAGTTATATCTATTTACTGTTTAGTATTTATAGTATCTCCCATAAAATAACGATAATACTTCTTAATTAAGACTATTGACCTAATTTTTTGGATGCTATTTTTCATATAACTTGTGACCAAATATAACGGGTACGTATCAGTGCACAAAATTTCGGCGTGTCGTAACCTGCTTATTTTTTCGGTAAACAAAATTTAGAAACTCCTGCAATATATTTTATATTATAAAATTTCCGGCCGCTTTAAAACTACGCCGGAAGTCAACTTAATCAAACGGAACCTCCGGTATTTTACAATAGAATTTTGTGCATTGGTACGTATCATTTCACCGACAATCAATTCAGCGACATGGTTTTCATGTAATTTGTAAGGAACGTGATCATATGCTCATATGATTAGTTGGATCATATCTACATCGATCTGGTCCGTGAACTTTATGCAGAATCTACTGTAGTTCAATAATGCTAGCTGAGTTTTTCATAGTGCCGGTACTATATATCACGTGTGAAATTTACATGAAATCCATGTTACTGTAACTTACATGAAATTACATGTATTGTAAATTTGTAAAATGTAATTTCCAACCCTACCGACTAGTTTTTTTTAAACGTTTCGCAAACATTAACTTTAATTTAACTGGCCCTAACGAAAATGACCAGAATTACTTTGTCGGTGAAATAAGCTTGTCGGCGAATTGACTGTTGGTGAAATAGGCTGTCGGTGAAATGAGCACCACCCAATATAATACCCCATTCTTATACAAAGTACCATATTAATCACTTTAAAATTAAAAATTTTGAAAAATTTTGGATATTACATGCAATGCTAAGCGGTAATAACATAGTTATATAATAGATATCAGCAGTAAGATATAAATATTAGTAAAAGCTTATTACTGTTAAAATAACAATCTAAACAATAGCATCAAAGCTCTTGATTTTTCAATCTTACATGTAACGTCCAAACCTGCCTTTTCGTAACTTATACAGTATATAGCTAATATAACTAGAGCTAGTAATAAATAGTAGAATATTTTTTTCTAAAATAAAAAAAGTATGTCGATTTTTTGAGTTCTTTTGCATGGTGGATATTGGCGTTCATTTAAAGCTAGGAATTGCATTTATGAAGGTTTATTAGTGGAACGTTACATTTTCAAAAAGTGCTTTAAAACATATAATTAGTTTCACGTGTAATATCCAATTAGACTTTCTACTAAAAACTTATTAATTCGGTGAATATAGAAATAGAACTCTTACATATAAAATATAAATTTAAATAATCTTAACCGTTAATGACTAAATTGAAAATTTTTAAATCATTTTATCACAAAATGGCATTTCTGAAATCTGGCAGGTTAGTCAATTACATGGCTGACTCTATTACGGCGGCATAAAATTGACCCCGATTATACTCATTACAGCATTAGTTAAAATTATTATTCCTTTTCCATTGAAAACGCATAGTCAACCTTAGTTTTTTTTATCCCGACTCATAGGAGTTCGTTTAACATCTACGAGAATTTCTTAATTATTTGAATTTGAATTTGAAATATACAAAAGATATGGAAGGCAGAACTACAACGAATATACAAAATTTTTCTCAGAACAATGACTCGTGTTAAGAATGGCACACGAATCAGAGTTCAGGTAAGGTGGAAGATTTCCTGCTTTCACAAAGAAAATGGAACTAAACTTATCCAGTAATCAGCCAAACTAATGCATAAATGTAATGGTTAAAAAAAAACAGGGTCAAGTAATTTGCTAAACTGCGTGAAAAAACTTTGTCAAAAAAGCTCAAACATTATATAGCATATATTAGCATATATTAGATATTACAGTAGAAATTCGAATATTTCAGTATTATTTACTTGTAGCGATAATAACATTGGAATTAATTTTATAATATGCAGTATTTAAATTTCTTAATAAAATTGACCGACGGTCCTAAATAGTACATCATGTTATCAGCTAACTTTCAGAAATGCCACAAAACGTAACGGTAATAGAACTTTATAAGAAAAGTGATAACAATTCACATTTTCTAAATAGGTTATTTTAGAAAACATAAATACTAATTAACAAGAATTTTGATATCGTTGTCATATTTAATACATTATATAGCTAATAGGCAAATTGATTTTATTAACTAAAATAATTTTCTAAGAACACGACTTTTATGTGTTAAATGATATTCTAACTCAACGCGTAATGTATTTTTTAAAGTTTGTTTTGTTTTGATATTAAAACCAAAACAACCAATTTTGGTCGTAATTGTTTTGATTTTTAATAAGTCGAGTCGTGTATGTTTATGTTTCGGTGATGACAAATCAAAAATCATAAGATATATAAGGATCGTATTTTTCTTGGTTAATCTTTAATATACATATCCCCCTCTCATTAAACACTCAATAATATTATATTATAAACTTCTAGCGACGAGTATGTGCAAACTCCTTTTTTCGCCATCCGTACCATTCTCTTGGCTTAAAAGTGGCAAGTCGGTAAAAAAGAAAAAAATTATAGAGCCGCACTTAGCCACAACAAGTTGAAAGATGGTACGGTTGTGCATTTATTCGCACCTTTGCTTAAGGCTTGAAAATTTATAATATAACCATATATTATTCGAGTAAAAAAAAACGCACACAACACAGAGGGAGTAGAACAACTGTGATTTCGTGCTTGCAACCGAAGATCATAACTAATACGGTAGTTATGATTTTTATAGCACGATTCACATACATTTACATTCACCAGATATCGAACCCACATCTGCCCGTAGACAAGTAACGAACTAACAACTTTTACCATAAAGGTATATAATGATAAAATTTTTTAAACCTATATTATTATGCCGATTTTTAATATATTGAATTTTAATCGTATAACTCTTTATTTGGTTTTTTTTTTCGAACCGTATATATTTAACGCAAGTTTAGTATTTTCTAAAATTGAATTTGAATGTCTATTATCGACTGTATAATGTTAATATTAACTAAGTTTTAATTTCTAGATTTCTGCCTTGTATCTAAAACTAGTATAAAAAAACTTGCTTAGGAAATAATGAATTTAATAAAGTAACGAATAGAATTTTTATGTAAAAAAAATGACATTTGTAATAAATAAAATTTTAATAAAATTATAATGTTGCAACTTTAATTATATTTAAATTTCGTTGTTTTACTGGCATTAAATCAATATACTAAAATGTTTATTACAATAATTACGTTGTAAAGTTTTTTTTTTTTTTCTTTATTTACGACTTCGTCAACTTAGTCGAAATACTTGTACAAACCAAAAAGCAAACTTAAAATAGCGATAAATAATTAGGTTAATAAAAATAATTTAATTTTTAAAAAATTTCGAAACATCAGATATTTAAAAAAAAATGAATGATCGATTTCGTATTTAATCAACAGCCAATAAGCGGAAGTTTGTGTAGTACAGTATATCAAGGAATTAATTATTGATCCGAAAATTTTCATGTTAATAGTTCTGTAACTAAATGCTAATAACGACAGTTGTTTAAAACTTAGTATTTCTCGTATTTAAAAATTTCTAGGCCAATTACTGCAAAGATGGTTAAAAAGAAAAGCGGAAGGACTCTTAACCCTGCCGATGCTCATCGTATGAATTTTATAATCTCTGGACGTATTTGATTTATCTTTAAAGCGTTAATTATAGCTATTTGAATCTATTGATCATTACAGGCAAAGCGATGCGTCAAAAAGAAATCAAAAAGGTTTGCAATCTATACTGTCAGCTTTGCGGTAATATTTAATAAAATTATATGTTAACTGAATTTTTGGTTTATTAGAATAAAATGGAAAGAAAAAGAGTAAGAACTCTCGTTATGGTACATAAAGATACATCAAAACTTGAAGAGGAGATATCACGATATAAAGCACTTGGTTAGTTTTTTTTCCCATTTATATTTATATTATCTATCAATCTTGGATTTTTGTTTTTTATTTAAATAATCATAATTTCATTCTAAAAATAGCGTATAACTTGACTATTCATTAGATAAAGAAAAAAGGCTTGATAAAAATGGCAAAGCCAAATTAAAAGATTTGGAAGATAAACTTTCAAAAATATTAGATACAAAAAAGGTAAAATTTCTAGAAGAAAAAAATCGATCAAAACTTTTTTATCCTATTATCTTAAATGCTAATTTGTTTGGTATTTAATTACTTTTGTTATTGATAATAGGCACATGGCGTCAGCTTACAAAGGTATTGTATTGTATTTAAAAAATATATTTTTCTTTTTATTATGGCGTATAGTTGATAATATTTTAATGTATGTATAGAAGTAAACCAAAAGATCATACACCGGTATATTTCCATCCAGCATTAAATTCTTCTGAAGCGTTCCCGCAGAATGTCAACAATAGTAGGTTATTTCGTCAAAAATTAGTATAACATTATTAATATTAAAATTATTTATCCAATTTATACACATACTAATTACGTTATTACAGCACAAGATGGTGGTGAAAGTTCAGCTAATGAAGAAAGCGATGATGGATATTCAGATGATGATGATGATGATAAAGCATCCGAAGGATCTGAAAAGCGTATGCATAATTTTTCAGAATTTGGAATTTTTAAAAATTTTTATAATTTGATTAAAAATTCAACTACCGCAGTCATTAATAATATATAATTTATTTATTAGAAAATAAACAAGAATCTGATGAAGATATTCCACTGCCTCCTGGTAAACCTCCTTCAAATGAATCAGACAACGAGTTACCAGAATTACCACCTGGAACACCTCCAAAACATGATGACTCAGATGATGATTTACCAGAATTGCCACCTGGTCCACCGCCTTCATTACAAAATAATGATGTCAATGCACAATCTTCAGGAATATCGAGATCACCACCTTTCGGATTTAGATCTCCGAGTATGCCTGCAGGTCCACAATATCCACCTCCACAAAGTACTTATATGATGTTCAATAGTCCTCCTGGGACTTCTAACCATTTAAGGCCTAATATCAGACCACCACCACCGCCAGTGTTCCCGTCCGGAACCGGTAGGTAAATTGTAATCGTATGATTCTTCCATCACTTGAATGTTTTAAGCAAACTAAAAAACCACTTTAGGTAATATATTTTCTCGACCACCGCCAATTCACGTGATGCCAGGGCAAGGTGCTCCTTTGAGACCATTGGATACTCGACCACCACCTTTTAGCTCACAAGTTTCGCATTATGGTCCTCCTCCACCACCACCACCAGTACAAGGTGTAAATAAGGTGATAAGGGATCATATGAAAAATAATTATAATATTGATTCATTAGATACTTATGGCTCTCCTCAAAGAGCGTTTCCACAACCTATCATCAATGACAAGAGTCAATCAATGAATGTATCATTACTTAAATCTACCACGGCTGCTACGCCAGTGATTCAGGCAGAACCTCAAGTTCGTAATCTTCAAAAAGAGTTAACTACACTTGTTCCTGCTGCACTGTTAAGAAAGAAAGCTGATGCTCGTAAACCAAAAGTAGCACGACCTGTTGTAAATGCAGCACCTAATATTGATGATGGTATAGGAACATCTACATCATCAGTAAAAAGAAATGCATCGATAGCAATTCCATTATTGCAACAACAAACGGATTATGATGTCCAATCATCAGAGCAAAAGCAAACAACTGCAAGTACATCATCACCAGCAAAGAAAGCAAAAACTAAAAAGAAAGTTGACGAGTATGATAAATTCATGGCTGAAATGCAAGATTTGTTATAGTTTTGTTTTTTTTAAACGTTATTGCTTCATAGATTAATGAGATTTGGGAGATTTGAGCTTTTTTTTTTTTGTTTTATGTATGGTTATTTGTATAAATTTATATACAAAATTAAACACAATGTTGTTAAACCATTAACATTTTCAAACCAAAATTTTTTTAATGGGTATACGTAAAAATTTTATACGTAAATTTCTATGATATTTTTTTTGCATTTAAAAAAAAAGAATTGGTAAATCCTTTTAACAAATAAAGGTTAGTGCATACAATGAATAAAATATAATGATAATACATCGAGCTCGTTATAATAAAGTAACTCTACACATCAAAGTCAAACTATTGGCTTCACGTGATGAATAACCAACAAGATTTTAAAAACTGCAAAGTCTTTGTGCGACCCAGTTGGTACACAAATTAAATAGTAATTTGATGACGCACATCACCTTAGGGTTAGGGTCAGTCAGTCAATTTAGTATTTAATTTAGATACCACCTCGGGTGACACCTTTAAAAATTTAATTATAAATATTTTTTTCAATATCGATATCAGGTATTAAAATTAGTGATGGGACCTCTCGAATTATTTGTTATTAATAATTGTTGCAGCTGATGCAGAAAATTTTATAATTTTGGGGGGTTCCCCGAAAATCAATTAACTGACAGTACTGACAAGTTCATTTCGCCGACAATACGATTCACCAACAGTACGTTTCACCAACAAGTTTTTTTTATAAATTACACTAACTTTAACTCTAATTCTAACCTGACCCTAACGGCAATGACCAGAATTACTTTGTCGGTGAAATGAATCATACTGTCGGTCTGATTGGCTAATAAATTCAATTTAATTTTACATTATTTATACAGTTTAGAATACTTTTTATAAAATAGATATAGGACTTCATAATCAAAAAAAGATCTAATTCTTGTCTGTTTAAACAAATTAGCTTATAATAAGTTGAGTTTTGAAAAGTCATAACTATACTAACTTTTTTAAACTGACGAGAATTAGATCTTATTTTTGTCTACAACTCTAATGAAACCTTCTATACAACTTTTTTTTTATTTCATTATGGTTGGTTTTCGTTTTTTTAAAAAATTACTCTAAACTGTATAAATAATGTAAAATTAAATTGAATTTATTAGCCAATCAGACAAACTTCTGCCTAATCAGGTAATTAAACATCCTTATTAATGATATAGATAGTTGATTTAGATAACAAACCAATATAATTTGTTTAATCACCGCAAACGGTGTAAGAGATACTGAAGAGAAGTTCCGAATACAGGAGGGTAGTTCATTGCAAAAGGGTAACTTGATCCTTAGATGGGTCTCTATCAGCAATACGACCCATTCCTTGCATGAAGACAGAAAAACGAGGAATCTTTGTGCATAATATACATATTATGCTAGAGCCTAAATCATTGGCTAATATATTCAATTTTAAAAAAAAATTACATAGAAGGTTTCATTAGAGCTGTAGGACTCCATAGCCAAAATAAGATCTAATTCTCGTCCGTTTAAAAAGTTGGTATAGTAATAACTTCTCAAAACCCGATAAAATCAATTTGTTACTAAGCTAATTTTTTAAACGGATCTTATTTTTGACTATGGAGTCCTACAGCTCTAATGAAACCTTCTATATGGTTTTTTACTTTATTATGGTTGGTTTTCGTTTTTTTTTAAACAAAAGTACTCTCAACTTTATAAATAATGTAAAATTAAATTGAATTTAATTAGCCAATCAGACGAACTTCTGTCTATGAGAGCCTGAATACATTATCGATTGATCACACATGATTGATCTCCTTATACTAAATATGAACTAGTATTCTAGAAAGTTGTGTTATTTAAAGTACCCAGTATAAAAACATTGACGAAAAATATTGGAACACATGGATCACCTTTTTGATGTAGAGCCATCTTAATTACTGTAAAATAGACAAGCCACAACTTTCGACAGACTTCTTTTTTTCATTTGTTCACTATAATTTTATTTTTATTAAAAAGTACAATAAACTGTATAAATAATATAAAATTAATTGAAAGTCGTCCTATGAGCCTGAAAAGTATATTCGATTATATAAAAGAATATATTCTAGAACTTGTTAATTAAAGGACAGCCTTTTATTTATGTAATTCGAAGGGTGACTATCAACCGTTAATAAATTCTTTATCGCACTTTGTGAATGCTTTTTGTATACTGATATGACATGTATTAATTGTGATATTTAATTTTTTATGTAGGTATTTTATTCCACAAAATACGATAATACTGTAAGCGAAGAATTCACTCTTAGATTTCAATTCTATCATATTTTCAATTATTATAACCTTTATTTGTTACATAACAACTCTTAGTCCATGCAAATAATAAAATACCGCTATCCTGTTTAAAGTTAAGGCATTGAATTATTTGTTAATAATATTTGATTTTTATATAGGACTATGTAGATAGTATATCGAATAACGACTAATTTTTTTTTATTGAAAAAGTGTATAAGTAAAGATACCCGGGCAATTGATTTACATTTCCAGATATAACCCGTTCTCAAGATCGGGTAACATACATATACACGTTGATTCTGCCCATTTTTAAGGAATCGATTCATGCTTACACGCGGTTTGCGCAAAGGTGTGACCTTTGTAGAGCATGATGTCATGTAAAATTGCAAGAACAGATCTTAATATATATATATTTTATAGATAATACATGCTTGATAGATCTTTGAAATTCCCCACTACCGTTATCACAAAAATAATGGGATTATACCTGTCTGTAAACTGCTAGAATGCTTTCTTTCTTTCTTTTGCTGGCTGATACGATATAACCACAATTTACGAGGACGTGACATTTATATGGTTCACTAACAAACTATAAAATTTTGTCAATCTTTAGTCGTAAAAATGTTAATATTCACCCATGAAAAATAACGCAAAATTGGGTACATTTATTATTATTGCGAATAACTATGTATAAGTCGAAATGCTGAAAATTGTCGTTTAATTTAAACTATGTTTTTTACTTTTCAGGTTAATAACGATGGTTTTAATGTAGTGCTTATTTATAGAATTTAATTTATTTCTGTCTGTCGAATGTCGAACTTTTGAGTAAGATTTGATTTTTTGTTATTGGAATTCAAGAATCGACATAACTTGGTTAGTATATTTGGATTATCGTATGATGGCTCTTCTGACATGATTTAAAGCCATGACTTACATATCGAATTACCGCATCGCATATTAAGAGCATAAACCACCCTTTCGAGCGAAACATCATATTTTTACAACTGGTTTCTACTCAAGGCATAGGACAACCTGAAATAGGTTTTTTTTTCATTTTACCTATCCTTTGCATTATTACAGTCTCTAATGCCTTTACACAGTTTTATTTTATATTTATTTCTCTTACTATTTCTATGACAACACCACAGCAATAGGATTGATAACTACCGCAGTATCACCGTGAAAAATAACGTCACGTGAGGATCGACAGTGAATATCCAATAGCTAATCTCACTTTAGTGTAACGTAACGCAATCAGGAAGATCGAACAAACCAATCTAATTTTTTTGGTTTTTTATCAACGAACTCTGTGGAACTTTATTTTCATCGCACAATTCATTAACGAACTCAGTAAGTGTGAGTTCATTTGCTTACTGTAATTTTTGCGTCCCTAATTAAGTGTTCTTATATTTTACTTTTCTTTTGCATTATTAAATTCTCTAATTTCTTACTAACAATTTACTTTATAATTAGATCATTATTTTCATCACATGAATATATGAACTTGCTAACTTCGGGTTCATAAACTTATCAGCTAACTCGGGAACTTCGTTGAAGTGTGGGTTTGTTTGTTTACTATGGTTTTGCGGCCTAGCGCCACTTAAGATAAATATTCTTGTATATATATATTTTTTTTCATTATTAAATTCTCTAATCACTTACAGTTTTCTTTATATTTGATCATTATTTTCATCGCACGAATATATTAATGAACTTGGTAACTTCAGTGAAGTGTGGGTTCATTTATAAGCTTATCAACGAACTCAGTAACTTTGGGTTCGTTCGCTTACTATGATTTTGTGGCCCTAATTTTTTTAGGTCCACTTAAGATAAGGATTCTTATATTTTGCTTCATTTTGCATTATTAAATTCTCTAATTCCTTACTAATGATTTACTTTATATTTAGATCATTATTTTCATTGCGCGAATTTATTAATGAACTTGGTAACTTCGGTGAAGTGTAGGTTCATAAACTTATCAACGAACTTGGTAACTTCGATGAAGTGTGGGTTCGTTTGCTTACTATGATTTTGCGGGCTTGATTTTTTTTTGGTGCCATTAGGATAAGTATTCTTATATATATATATATATTTTTTTTTGAATTATTAAATTCTCTAATTTCTTACTAACGATTTACTTTAATTCAGATCATTATTTTCATTGCACGAATTTATTAATGAACTTGGTAACTTCGGTGAAGTGTGGGTTCATTATAAGCTTATCAACGAACCCGGTAACTTCGATAAAGTGTGGGTTCGTTTCTTTACTATGATTTTACGGCCCTAATCCACTTAAGATATGTATTCTTATAATTTACTTGTCATCTTATTACTAACTATTTATTTTATAATTAGATCATTATTTTCATTGCAGCGAATTTAAACTTATTAAGGAACTTGTAACTTCGGAGAAGTGTGGGTTCGTTTTTTGTGCTATGATCTTGCGGCCCTAATTTTTTTGGTCAATTTAAGTACTAGATAGTTTCACAACCAACGACATTGCTCAAAACCAGAAAATAATGGCTCTTTATATAAATGCTTTATTAGTCATTCTTGTGTTATTTTTCTAAGGGTCACGATGTTCAATAAAAGTAAAAAAAGTGCAACTTTGTTGAGTTCCATCCTAACCTCTTTTTTTGAATTAAATTCATCAAATGTCATAATTATTGGATGCAAAGCAGCCGATAATAACATACTCGTTGTTGCGATCCTTTTAATATATAAATTTGTAATCTAGGGCATTATTAAGTGCTTCAGTAAACATATAAGAAATATGTTAATTAAAAATTTGATTAGCAGAAAGTACATTTAAGATAGATAAAGTGTGGAACATATAGATTATTACATTAAATAAAAATTTTTTAAATAGTAAAAAAAATATTTAGTGAACTTCTCATTCCAGTCAACAAACTTTCGTCAGGTCCATCTTTTTACATTGGCTTATCAAAACTTTATGATTTTAAATGAAGAGTTAGGAGTCAAGCATTTTCATACTTTCTGATTATGGATCCTTATTAACAAAAAAAAAAAAGCACTAATATATTTCTATTATTAGATGTTTGAAATATTTACGATACCTTAAATTCAACATTTTAATAGCCTTAAATTTAATAAAAGGTATTCAAGCACTGATTGAAGTCTTTATTTTAATATTTAATAGCAGCAAAAGTGATGATTATGTGAATAGCTAAATTCTAACATAATGCCCATGCATTATTTGACCGCTAGGAAATCGCATCTAAGTTGATACTTGAGAATGCTCTTCATTAATATTTTAAGCTTAGCTCTGTATTGCGGTATACGTGACTGTATATTAATCTTCAAAGGGCGCTCTCAAGCATGCTATTTTTTGGTGTTAAATATTATTGTTTTGGATAAAAACCAATATAGATGATGATTTATTGAGAATTGCTCAAGTATTATACATATTATGATTTGCCAATTTTTGTAGTGATACTCAATTGCTATAATATATCAAAATAAATCTTTATCAATTCTTGCAGCATAATAAAAAAGAATCAGAGTAATAATAGCTTATTGGTGTTAATAAAGATTCATAACAAAAGGTATGAAACGCTAGAAAAAAACTCTACTGACTTTCAATATGACTTTCGGCATGACTTTCGGCACGCCAAATACTTTCGGAGCCTAATGAATTATTTCGTTCAATCAAAAATGGGATTATGTATTTATATGTTTAAAAAGAACAGGTGGGAAATTCAGTAACCCTCAAAAAATCCAGAATACGTATTTATGTCGTATATTGCTCAATTCTTTATTAGTTTGTAAACGTCGCTTGCGCAAACATATCTTAAAAGATTTTTATGTACAATATGTTATTACACCTTAATTGTTCTTATTCAACTACATATTTAAAGAATGAATGTATATTCCTAAAATTATTATTATTAATGTTGTTTTTCTTGCGTCACCACTTATGTGTATTATTTTTAGCACTTTTATCGTCATGAATACTTATGTCGAAAATTTTTAATCGAAATGCTATTTTTATCTTCATTTAAAAGGTTTAAGTAATTATTATTGCTTAATTCGAATGAATTAGATGTTGCACATTATAATTGGATAGTATTTTTAAAATATTAGAAGGTAAAAACAAGGTTCTTTTAACCACATATAAGTGATAAATATTTCGCCATACATAAAATTCAACTTACATATGTCAGTAAATAGGTCATATTCTGTAAAAATAACCATTTAGGAATTTCTCCAGTTCAATATGAAGGGCTGCTTCTTTTATGCAATTTGAAAGCGATTAATATATATTGCATAATCATTGTAATTAATTAAATTGATTAAAAGTTAATTAAAATGTTGCTTATAATGATGTACTGAAAGTTCATTACAGAAAATATAAATTTTTAAGCTTCAGCAGAACTATGAAAAAAGGTGGACTGTATCTCTATAATAATTTATTATCCAAAGTTGAATTATAGCATAATATATTTTTAATTTTATTCTTGATTAATTGGCATTGTAGGACAATAATCATATATATTTATTCATGTTATTATATTATTTAAGCATGTCACTAATATTATTAGTAAACCGGTCCAATATACTTATCATTTTTGAAGTATTTAGGATTCATAAATGAAATCCATCTATTTTCATTGCTTTTTTTATATACAACTTGAAAAACTTCATATTCAATAACAGAAAACCTTTTTTCTGTCATAATATTATTGAAACTTGAAGATTGGGAGGTGCAACTTTCGTGCTTATCGAAATTGTCAGTCATATGAATATCCTGTTTACCAAAGCAGGGACCTAATTGTGGGTCATCTTTGATTGCTGGATGATTTTTTTTAACCGAACTAAACTTGATATTCCGACAATTTTTGCGAGGGCCAAAAGAAAATATAAAGGATTCATTAGTGAAAATATATTTTCTTTTAGAATTAACATAAAACAAGCTTTTCGGATTTAATTGATATCCCCAGCATACAGGATTGTATCCACCAATTATTTCACCCGAAGTTCTAACTTTCATAATTACAATTGTTGGTCCTTTATTGTCACAAAGGTTATGAAATTCTTTTGATGTGAATCCATCACGAGTGCCTCGTAAAAGTAAATTAAGTTCACAATAAATTTTAGCTAATGTTAATTGTTTAATTTTTGGAATTTTGTGAATAATTTGAATTTCTTGTAGTGGTGTAATAATTTTGGATTTAAAGAAGCGTAACTTTGGTTGCCTTGGTTCTAAAAGCATTTTAAGTTGGAATTTTAAATTATTTTGAAAATCTGTAATTTCATTTCTTAAATTTATATCAATTATATCTCTAAAAGGCCAAACAAAAGTATAAAATTGATTAACAGAAAATTCAGTAAACCTAATTAATGGAATATAACTAAGCAATATGTTTTTTAAATTAGTTAATTTCTTTTTAGAAAAACTAAAAAAATACCGATTTGTTTCTGAAATTTGTCCAATTCCCCATAAAATTAAATTGTGCCAAATTTCAAATTCTTCCATTTGAATTTTATCTTGGTTTAAAAATTTTGTCCAAAAACTACCATCAAGTTTTAAAAAATAAATTGATCTGAAGAGTAATCTTGGATTTTCACAAATCTTCTCTATGCAATAATCTTGAAATATTTCAAATGAATTATATCTAAAGCTAGTAAAAGTAACCAAACTCAAATTACATAATATCCACTTATATCTTTCTTCAATAAGATGACATTGACCTTCATCCAAAATGTCATCAATTAATAGTTCTTCAGTGGCCACCAAAAAGTCAAATATATCTTTTTCGGCATGTTGTTTCCAAAGTACTTTACCACTATAAATGTAACTAGAATTAAAAGATGGATTAAGTTAATAAACATATACAAATAATAATACAATATTAAACAATACTCATAAAAGAGTTTGATTTATACTTTAATACAATGAGAAACACCTTCGGTGCAATATTAGGCTTTTTAAAGATCATTTTACCATTTTCAAATTTGGCCCAAGATGGTGACAAAGCACATTTAAAATAAGGTGTACTATTAGAGAGAATTTCTGTATGCGCATTAAATCTTTCAATATTAGGCTTTTCGCCTACTTCAATTGTTAGGTCCGTAAATTTGTATTTAGAAAGATAATGAAAATAACTTTTACAATGTGAATAAACTGACTTGGTTTTTGAAATTTTTTGAAATGATTTGGTCGACGGATACAAACAAGTAAAGTCGCAGTAGCTGTTATCTGATACAAAAAATTCTGTAGGTTCCATAAAAGAGTGATTCGTAATAGAGTGATCCGTAATAGAAGTTTTTTTAGGTTCACTTCTATAAATAAAACTAAGAAATGTCATAATACTACGAATCGTCATTGTGGATAATATTAACTGTATGAAATTTGGCGAAAACTCCGTAATTTTATTTTTTTGTATATTCCTGTAGTACAAGATGTATGAGTAAATTTAAAATTGTGACCTCCCGTGTTTTCCGAAGGCACCTGGAAAATGTGTACCGGGTTGGCTCCGGATGATCATCCGGATAATTAGATCGGAATTACAGAACGATCGGAATTGTATCAAAATTACGCAACTTTTAATTAAAAGTTAAAAAAATCAATTATGTATTATTGTAATTAATATAGTATATGCTTATTTAAATAATATTTTTGAATTTTTCTTTTTCTTTTTTACGAAAAAAATGCAAAGTTCATTGCAGGCACGTATTTTAATGTCACAAATCTTTATTTTGCTGTTTTATGAGCTAAAATCATATAAATTTAGAATCCAAATGAACTATCGAATATATTGGATCTATCTGAGCCACTTCAACAAATACTTCCATCAGCCTATAAGTATCAAGTTGAGAACTATGATGAATTAGAACCTAAAATCATTTCAGAAAATGTGACAATTGGACAAATTGTCATAGATTTATTAGTAAATGTTAATACTAAAGAAGGTGTTTTGAAATGGATTGATAAATTTCAAAAAATTTTAAAAATGACAATGTATCTAACTAGAACTTATCCAGCTAAAGAGATCAAAGTTATTTTTAGAGAAATGAAACATTGTATCCATAGTATTTAGTAATACAAAAAATTAGTAAATGTGAAATTAAAAATCCACATGGTTTAAAAGTAGAAACATTAATTGTATTGTTATGCTTAACCTTAGATTAAAAAATTCTAATTTACTTGAGTCAATTTATATTTTACTTATAATTACCTATCTAATTCTGCAATTTCATTAAGCTTTTGATCAATTAGTCTTGAGGATCAAAAATAATATATTAATTTATTTTTTTATTTTTTTTTTTATTAATATAATATCAAGTAGAAAAATAATAATACATGAATATATTAATTAGATATAATATATAACTAAAGAATTATTCTTAAACTATACTATTGTTGCTATGTATATCTAATTACATCTAGTGTGATATTATTCTCTTATTTTCTGTTATTAGTTAAATTAATTATTGTTAATATTTAACTACAGAAGAGATAGAGAACCCCTTAGAATTGTTGATTTAATAAAACCAAGTATGTATAGTGAAATTTTGAGAAAAAGTTTAATAATAAAAGAATCTATATTAGTATCAAAGATAAAGGTAGTATTATTAAAGTTTGTTAGTTTTGAGATAGGTAAATAGATGTTTTTTTTTTGTTGAGGCAGTGATTTTTCATGTTGACTTCTACTTATATTATTAACATTTCATATTTGCCAGATGGTAGAATTGAACCAAATAAGTATTGAGTTTGATAATATGATAAAAAAATTATTAGTTGATTTTTTTAGGATAGGTTGTAGTTGTTTGTAATGATCTAGGGTTAATGCATTCTAAATGAGTAATAGTAATAAGTTATTTGTATTCAGGTTTGAAGAAAAGATATTTAAAATTTACATTATTGTATATGGTAGTGTTTCTGATAAGTTTAGAAAGTTTAAAGTATTTGTTATTTTGTTGATAAAGATAATATCTGGATTGTGTAAATAAAGAGAACATTTTAGTAAATATTCAGTATTTTCATATTGGTTACAAAATGAGCAGTTTGGGATTAGATAGAAAGTGGGATAGTGAGTATTTAAATTAGACATTATTAGTAGGTTATTGAGTAGTATTTTGTTTCTAAATAAGTATAGATTTAGATTAGAGTATTGAGAATTAATAATCTCAGTTAGTAGTTGAATATTTATAGTAAAAAGGTTCTTTAATAGTTTAAGTTAAAGAAGTTTGTTGAATGTTTGAATTGATAGTAAGTTTTACAAAATTTACATAATTTGTATATAATTAGAATTTGATTTCAAGTAAAGAATGAAGGAAGATAGAAGTAGTCAAGATTAAGTTCAAGCTTAGTTTTGCTAGTTTCATGTTTAGCTAAAGTATCAGCTATATTATATAGTGTATTATTGAATATAATTTGACTTTGTGTAAAAATAATTAATGTTTTTGTATTTAGTTAAGAAGTCTAGAATGTGAATAATGTTACAATTATTTTGTTTGGTTTGCGAGTTGTGGTTGTAGAGTATTAAGTATATAAGAATTTTAATAGTAAATAAACTATTGAAATGAATATGAATTTGGTATTTAGGGAATAAAATAAGAAATAGAAAAATAAGAGCTGCAAGTTCTACTTTTGTAGAGTTTGGCGCATAGAGTATGGATGCATTAAATTTAATTTGTATAGCATTTTTAAATATCTAAGTAATATCAATAGAAATGTTATATGTTTGTGAGTTTATTATAGAGACATATATTAATTTATTTAAAATAGATATTTAGTAACTACTACATATCATATTTACAAAGATGAATTATATTTATTAGCATCTAGTTGTAATAAATTGGTATAGTAATTAGCTAATAGGTCAAAAAACCCAGATAGAGATTTTATAAAAAATTTTTATAATAAATTTTATACAATATATTTAGGAGATCCAAATGAGAAGAAGATGTTTAGTTATTTACAAAATATTATAACTTTATACAACAATTATAGTAATGGAAAGACAGTACTTCAAGTATACAATTCTTTGAAACAAACCTCTTTTATTCTCTGTATTGTAACAAATTTGATGAAATGAGTTTATGAACAAATATACTAAGCTAATAAATTATATTACTTTGATGTATTAGCATCTTTTAATAATCTTAATATATCACTTATACTTCTTTATATAAATTGTACTGCTAGAGCATTATTATTAAAATTATATCTAACATCAGATAAATCTGACATCACTATTAAAAATGCTTTCAATTTATTTAAAAATATTTTATTAGATAACTTCTTTTATAATCACAAATTACAACTTGAATCTACAATTATTATAACAGATAAGTTCTACACAGAACACAATACATTATTATTTGCTGGCCAAATTGCATTAGGTTACTTTGTGTTTTCTATGTTTTATAAATATTTTGGCATTGGTTGTATGATTCTAAGCATAAAATTCATAAAGATGATCGATTGAGTACTAATTATATAATTATTCAAAAAAGTACTATATGTACCAACTATTTTTGAAATAAAAATTGCATTTGTTAATTTAAAAAACAATTACTTTGTCAAATATACACAATTTGTAGCATATGTTTTATATCTTTGAAAATGAGATTATATGAGCAATATCATATCACTAAAATTTATTAATGCAAGAGAATTATATAATAATTATGTTAAAAAAAGCTTTGAACTTTTAAAAAATATTGTTTTGTTCGAACTCAGATGTATAATTTTGTACAATATTTAACTTTATTATATCAAACATAAAATATTTCTATAAACATCAATTATTAACAATTACAAACTATTATTCAGGTCATCTTGAATTATCAAACTAATTTTTTTGTCCTAGATAATTACAAATTAATTTGCAAAAAATTCAATATAATAGCTCAACTAGTCTTTATATTGTACCAAATGAGAATTTTAATAAATTTTATATTGTTGATTTATCTATAGATGCATATACATGTCTTGTCACACTTAGTAGAACATCTTGTAAACATTAAACAGCAGTTGCAATAAAATTTTATGCAAGATTTTTTGAGTATATTTTGACTTTTTTTCTTGAAAACTGTTTAAAATATAGATATATTGTATGTGGTTAGTATAGTAAATAAATATATATATATATATTGAAAATATTAATTTTTAAATACAATTTTAAAATGTAATTATTAAAGATCTAATATTTTATATATCCTTACAGGCATCTAATGAATGAATAATGAAATAATTATTAAACAGAATAATAAAACAATCATTAAGTTAAACAAGAAAATATATAATATTTAGCTATCTAAAGAAGATATTGAAATTAGGTTGGTATTATAATTTTCTAATAATTTTATATATAATTTATAATATTTGGAATTTATTTGATAATTATATAGTAGCAAAGATCTAAATGAACATATAATATTTGTAAAAAAAAAATTTTAATATATTGTCAAAGATATTAAAAATAATAGCCAACTTTTTGCTAGCATTGAACATTTCATAAAAGGATATAAAAAATCCAAATTTTCATTGCTAGACAAGCTGATATCCTATTTGTTTCAACAAAATTTTTTGTTACAAGTAATGAATTTTTGAAGTAGGTCAAAGATCAGAGTTTAATCAGCATCAATTTAATAAAGAAAATCACATATTTCAAAAGAAAATATCGATTTATCTGAAATGAAAACATACAAAAAAAGATCAACCACAAAAAAAGCACATAATTTATTAAAAAATATTGCTAAAAATAAACCAAATTAGAGTTTATTAGAAAATAAATTAATTAAATATTGAAAGCTATTTATTTGTAACATTTATATGCATTGTATAAGTACTATAAAGCATATGAATTATTGCAATAGTGCTTTAGTTAATTGAAAAAACTTATTTTAATATAAGAAAAATTATACATATTGTGAGCCCTGAAATCGGTCACAGTCTCATGTGACTGATTGTCGAAATTAGATCCCGTCACCTACCCGAGTAACTGGTCACATGAAAAGTAAGAGAAATCTTACTTTTCTTACTTTTATTACTTTAGTTACTTCGAGTAGAACGACGGTATAGGGGGCATTAGGTTTTTGGTTAATATAGTTAGAAAAGAGATTTTAGAGACGAAGCATTGTAAATAGATAATGTAGAGGAAATAATCCTCAAATGTAAATAAAGGTTTTATTATAAATAAAGGGCTTTCCGCCCAGGGGGAAAATAACAAGCGATACCCCCAAGTAACTACAATTGCTTAAATAAACTTAAAGTATCAGACCTATATTAAAAGAAAGCAGTAACCCAACCCAAAACTATCGTTAAAATCTATTGTAATCAACTATCGTTTGCCCCTTTGTAATCCATTAAAACCGC